GTCCATTTTACTCCATATGTTATGGAGAGCGTATGGTGCTTATATACTTGTCATTAAATTACATCAAATTTACCCAGATGAGATACTAACTTACACACTAACAGATGTTTCTTGTATGCAGAAACACTGGACTTGTTCAAAGTGTTACTGTAAAATTAGTTTTCACTGAAAAGACGTTTTGGCTACTTTGTATTTTATATTTGATGAGTAGAATATAAAATATAGGACAAATGCTGTATAAATATTTACTTTCACTGACATTTAATTTATTTATTGTTATGTTTTGAGCATAATCGCTGTGTGGGTTAGTTCATGAATTTGTCAAAGAAACATCGAGTTTTATTTTTATTTTACATGTTCACGTAGATTTAATTTAGCTGATTTTACTTATCAGCAAAAATAACAAAATTAAAACCCAGTGAATAATTAATGCATTTACAGTTACTGAGGTATTTCCACTGGATTTTATTTTCAGCGATAAAGAAATTCCAAGTGATAAAAAAGTACTTTACAGCATATCTCAACATCAACTCAAGCGACGCTAACAATATATAAAGTCTACTTCCACCCTACAAAATATTTACATTATATCTGAATATTATTTTCACTTTTCACATTTTCTATTTTTGCAGAATACAGACCTGAGTTTTAAATTTCCCTTTTATGGGCATGATTTATCATCAGTTGTCATGGCAACAGGAGGTAAGAAAGACAGTTGATTCTTATCCTCTTGAAATGGCTTTTAAATACTATCAGTACGCTTTGTGTCTGCTCCAGTAATACTTGTAGTTCCCACTATTTGCTAACAATAATCCTATACTCATTTCAAGCTGAATCATATTTTTTTTCAGCCAAGTAGTTGAATGCCTTAATTTATATACTGTGAAATACTTTATTTTCGCTGGAATTTATTTCCGCTTAAAGACTTTTTGGGTGTTTTGTATGGAATTTATTTTCACGGATTTTTGATGAGTTGAATGTAAAATATAGAAAAAAAGGTATATTTGCTTGATTTTATTTTCACTGAACCATTACTTCAGCGAAAATGAATTCCAAGCGAAAATAAAGTACTTTACAGTACTGGAGTACAGATAATTTTAATTTTTACTGCATTTTTTTTTCCACTCCACTACCTTCTATAGTGCTGCATTGATTGAAGTCTTCAGATAGTATCATGTCATTCGTTATGCATTTACTGATAACGTTTACACTGTGGTATTTGATGTGAGTCCCATGTGACAAATACTACATGTGTTAAATATGTTGTTAGTTTTATGGAAATAAAGCACTCATTGTTTATTATAATCATGTTTTGATTTCTTTCTGTGTGTATTTCTGATCAAAATCAGATCTTTGTTTGGATTTTTCATTTATTTATTCAATTTTTTGTTTATGTTTTTTAATTTTCTGTTTAGATTTGTCTACCCCCTCTTGTAAAATGCTCTGTGATTGGCAAAGTAATTCGCTCAGTGAAGGAGATAATTTTTTAATAACTGAAAAGCCATGCATATTAATTACCTAATTTCCATGACTGTTCCATTGATATCTAAAGAACCACTCATTGGATTTTAATGAAACTTGGTAAATGGATGGTCTGGGTCAATGCTCAGACCTGATTAGTTCTACATGTAGGTGAAAATTTGTGCATATTAATTACCTAATTTGCATAATGATTAGTCAATTTTTGATTGTTACACTAATATCTCAAGTACCAATCTTTACATTACAATGAGATTCGGTACACAGATGTCATAGCACAATGCATAGTTGCATTTTAATTACCTAATTTGCATATTTTCAAGTACTAATAATCATTACATTTCAATGAAACATTGCACATAGATGCCCTGGGATACTGCGCAGACCAAATTTTGTTTTTTGCATATTAATGACCTAATTTGCATATAAATTTAGGCATTTCACTTCTTTCTCATGTACTATTCAACAGATTTCAATAAAACTTGGTACATAGATGCCCTGGGATATAGCACAGACCTGATTAGATTTTGGTTGAAATCCGGTGCATAATAATTGCTTATCTTGAATATTAATTAGCTAATTTTAAGCCTTTTCAAGAACCATTCATTGGATTTTATTGAATTTTGATACACAGATGGTCCAGAATAATGCACAGATTAGTTTGTGTTAAACTTTGCATATTAATGTCCTAATTTGCATATCAATTAGCATATCTTAAGCATTTTCTCTTGTTTCTCAAGTACCATTCAACATATTTAATTGAAATATGGTACTTAGATGCTCTTGGATAATAACCATTTTGTTGTCTGGCAAGATAGATGATCATTATTTCATTAAATATATATAATTGTTAAACCAAAGCTACTTGGAACTACACTGGTCATGGCTTGCACTTATATTTGTATTTGCCCTAATACAAGCACATGTACTAAATGTAAATATATAGTAAATGCAGTATAAAAAATTACTTATTCATACTTCATACCTCCAATACCTTCAGCACAGTTTTTTCTAAGCTTTCTTTGATTAATTTGCTGTTTTGTCTGATG